TTGCATCAACTGAATGCTATAAAGGATGCTTTAGAAAGTTATTATGTAGAGTGGCATTCACTTGGGTTTTGAACACTGTTAGCAGGTTGGCAATTTGGCAAATACTGAATGGCTATACCACATTTAAATTCCGATAATATTTATCAATTACTTGATATAAAATTTTTACGAAATATTCAGAGGTATACATAATTAGGTATCTTGAAGTTCAGTCCTAGAGCAAAATGCAATTTCAAACATGTTCATAACTTTGAGCATGGAAATAACTTAGGTCTACTGAAACATCAGATAGTATCACTAGTGTCATAATGTCAGTACTCCCAATTTTCAGTATTGGAATATCTTAAACATTTACTTGTCAGATTATAGAATTCAACCTTTATCTGTTTTTGGAGAAAGCTTGTGAGATTAAAAATATTGAGCATGGTCTCATTTTTACTGTTTATTATATTTCTGCTTACCCCCTAACTCTTGAGGAGCATATCATTTTTTGAGAGTGCAAAATTATCTTAAAATCTTCCTTTATTATCTGTACAGATTAACTTGCAGATCCTCCCAATTTCTTCCTGATGTAAATAATGTTACTGCATTACATAAGAATTGAGATAGAGAGCTCTGACGGCCGGGGAGCGGCAGCGTAGCCTGCAAGGCTCCTGGGCGCCGCCAAGATGCCCAAGAGGAAGGTCAGCTCCGCCAGGGGCGGCGAAGGAGGAGCCCAAGGATAAATCTTCTGACAAAAAAGTGCAAGCAAAAGGAAAAGGGGGGCCAAAAGGAAAACAGGCCGAAGTGGCTAATCAAGAAACTAAGGAAGATTTACCCACGGAAAACGGAGAAACTAAAAATGAGTGCAGCTTGTGATGAAACAAAAGAGCAAGAAGCCAAGTCTGATTAGTCACACACCGCATCTTACCAGTGCTCCCTGTCTCCCTTCTTGTACAATCCAGAGGAATGTTTTTAGCAACTATTTTGTAAATGCAAATTTTTTAGCAGCTCTAGAAACATTTTTAAAAAGGTCATCCCACCTCATCGCATTTTTTAAGTGTAAATGATTTTTTTTAGAGGTGAAATCATTTGCTGGTTCATTTTTTGGTACAACCAGAAAATAGTGGGATACAGAGTTGTGGTCGGCTCTGCCTGTCCTGTGTGTCAGCGTAATGTCCCGTAGATGGGGTTAGTTTTATATCCTGCAGTGTAAAGCATACTGAATGGCAATTTGGAGTCACAGTCGTGCGTTTAATATGTCTTGGATGTTTTAAATGACTTCTATTCCCATGTTGTTTTTAGTAGAATTGTTTCCTAAAGAAAACGACTTCCTGATTGTTGCCCCATCAGAATCCTGTGCGCTGTCACATGCTTTGGTCATGCTAGTCCAATTTGCCTGATTTGTTAATGTGCTGTGAAAGATTGAAAATTTGAGTATGTAGTGTATATGATAACGCAGTTGTGAACAGGTGGGACTTAAGTAACACTTTATCAGCGTTCGAAAATACTGGTATTTAATCCTCTTATGGAAAATTTTCCTCCAAATTTAAAGCTGGAAAGTCACTGGAATAACCGAAAAAGAAACAATACAGTTTTTTAGGGAGTTATGTTGACATGCTTATAATTGTTGCACTTGGCAGTCTCAGGCAAGAGGACTACAGGTGTTCAAGGCCAGCCTGGGCTACACATAGTGAGTTTAAGGTCAGTTTGAACTACATAGTGAGACCCTGTCTCAGAAGACTAAAAAGAAAGAAAAAATGAAAATGAACAATTTGTCCTCGTGGGTCACTTGTTTTATTTATACACTGTCATTCAAGCATGCTTTTTAGAGAGCCTACAAGACACAAAACTCTCAGTAGATGAACTGCTAATGAATTATTGTGATAGACCATAGGTATCTCTTCTCTATTATTTCACTCTTTGTATCTAGACAACATTTTGAGACTTGGACCTGGTTTCATAGACAAAAACATCACTTGAACACTAAATAAAACTCATGAATGATAATTACAAATGCTAATTTTAAAATCACAGTTTTTATTGGAGGAGGGTTAAGGACAGTATTAGGGGATTTTCTTGAAGTTTAATGGCGCTAAAAGATCAGCTTTCACACAGATATAAAAATCTTGGGTAGAATAAGTGAGGCTATTGGGGGGATGGCTGTGATTAAGTATGTGCTGAAAAGCCATATTTTGCAATGTTTATAGGCACTAATAATAAAAATAAGCTGCCATTCTTTAGAAATAGCACTTTTAATCAAAGAATGATCCATTGAATTTTTTCTGAGACTGTTAAAAAATAATAATAATAAAAATTCAAGAAAAATGTCAAAGACCCACCTTCTTTCAAAAATTATAGCACTTCGGCACAACAAATGTCTAAAAACACTCAATAACATAGACAAGTAGGTGATAGCTTGTTTAATATAAACAAAAGAAATTCAAATCCATTATTCAGAGCCTGGTACCATTAGTAGAGAGAGAGTAACAAATACTTTACAGGAAGACAATACTCAGTGAACAAAGTATTAATACAAGATAGAGCTGCTATTTGTGCAACAGTGGCAGAAATCAATGTTTAATACCTGAAATTGGTACGTACTTCAGAATCTATATTGTAGTCTCCTGTCTTCTATGTACAATAAAGTAACAGCTTGAAATAGGAAAGATAAACTAAAATACTTTGAGGATTCATTGTAAAATCTTTTGGATATGAAATATGAATTTCATCAGAATAAATTTTAAAAGCCCTAAGAATTAGAGAAATTTAAATTCTGGAAAATTATGAGGTAAGAGAAAAAAATGTGAAATATATGCAACATAAAATATTTGTGTACAGAGTAAAAACAAATAATTTCAAAAATGAAACACCTAATTCAAGTTAAAAACACCAAAGATAAAATAAGACCCATGACCTTGGTTGAGACAAAAGCCAAAAACAAGAAAGTGTGAATGACCACAATAGTTACTCTTATGCAAGAATGGAGGATGAGGCTGGGTGTGGTGGCACAAACCTGTAATCTCAGGATTCAGGAGGCTGAAGCAGAAGGATCACTGTGAGTTCGAGGCCAGCCTGGGCTACCTAGTGAGAACTGGTCTCAAGAAATAAAAAATAATTTCTAAAAAAAGAATGGAGGATGAATTGACACACGCCTCACCTACTTCCTGTACTGTAGAGTTCAAGAAAATCTACAGATCAGTTTAGGGTGTCTCAGTACTCTCATCTATGGCCCAAAGCCTATTAATGATGCTTGAGCATTCCCTGGACATTCATATTGTTATGTCACATGATATTTTTGAGAAATTTCATTCTAAAGTATTTTTAAATAAATTACCATTAGAAAAGAACCAATGAAAACCTATCCTATCCTATAACATGAAAAGTTGAGAAATAATTTTCAGACTGGACAGCAACAAACAAAGTGGCACAGTTGCAAACACAAATGCTTCAGGCAACCAGCTATCCGCAGGCAGACTTTCTGCTGGCCATCAGGAGTGCAGCTTAGAAAGTCAAAGAAAAGACTGACATCAGAGGTGATCAATGCCTACATATCCAGCTTATGATGCAAACTGCTACGCTCGCCTATGGAGGAATGGTTTTCATGTTGACACTGATGAGTACATGGTATGAAAAAACAAAAGGACATGCCAGGAAATATGATTCACATCGCTGGGGGCTCTGGCAGAGTAAAACAGGCCTCTCCTGCAGGTACCATGTTTCTTGAAGGGAAAACAGAATAAATTTGAGTGAAAATTATCTCCAGTATATCCATTTTGCAAGAATAGTTCTGATCTCCTATATGAAAAAGCACAAGATATATTAGCATCTCTCACTACATATATAGTGACAGATTTTTTAATAAAAAACTTAGAACTTTATACCTACCAATATTAAAAAATTATGTTCAAACTGATAATCAGCAATTCACTGGGTTCGTAGAGCTACTGTTATGTACAGTGAATGACAGACTGTTCATGGAACAGAAAGTGACTTTGAACCTGTAAAAGTATGTGATTGACTATCTCTTAAACAACAGTGCTATTTCAAAGTGGCTTTTGATTCATTGTAAATGGATGTTGTTCACATTCCAAAAATTCAGAAGTCAGGACACAAGCCTTACCGAATATCTTAGTACCACTGAAGTACAGAAATATGAGCATAAAAAATAAATATTTGTTTTGTACAAAATCCTAAAATTGTATAGACATGTTTCTTGATACCAAAGAAAAAAAAACAGGAAAAATTATACACTGCACATAATCTATAATTATGTTTGGACACATGCAGACATCTCAGAATATGGAAAACAATACTTGCTAACCTATAAATTGTTGGAAAACAATTGGACTGTCTAAAATACATGTTCAGAAATATTTAAAACATATACACTATAATTTAAAAATATAGCATTCATTTTAAAACTCTCATAGCAAAGGAGAAAAATTGAAGCATATGCATGAAGAATTTAAATGGAATCTAGTGAGAAAATTTCAATCATTAATAAAAATTCAGTTTTAAGTGTCCTATTACCTCACAATTATTTTAAAATAGTACAAACTACATAAATATTAAGCTTATTGGAATATAAATATGTCAATTCACCTGTGAACTAAACATGATGCAAAATAATATCACCTAATTTGATTACAAGACAATAAATTCCCACAATATTGCTTAAACAGAATTATGTCAGCACATTAATTCTTAGAAGTGAACTTACATAATCCAGAGATCTACTTTAAGAATTACTGATAGAGGGACGGGAATTTAGCTCAGCGGTTCAGTGGCCTGCCTTGCAAGTGCAAGGACCTGAGTTCAATCCTCGGTATTTAAAAAAAAAAAAAAAAAAAAAGTTAAAAAAAAAAAGAATTACCCATAGAGCTGGGCATTTAGCTCAGTGTTTCCGGCACCTGCCTCACAAGCACAAGGACCGGAGTTCAATCCCCAGTACCAAAAAACAAAACAAAAGAATTACCGATAGCTGGGGATTTAGCTTAGTGGTTCCAGCGCCTGCCCCCACAAGCACAAGGACCCAAGTTTGATCCCCAGTACCAAAAAAAAAAAAAAAATTTACCGATAAACACACTACCTTTATAGTGTATGATGTATCCCTTCTTTGTGTACTTTCTGGAGCATTCTACACAAAAGTAATTGACATGGAGTTTTCAAGTAATATACTTTTTAGGTTTCCACTACATGAGACATGTTCAAAGGATTTTGAAAATGAGTTAAAACTGAGATATTTAAGAATTTACTGGGATTTTTAATCCAATATGCATTCTTATAAGCCAGCTAAAGACTTGCATGCATCCCTTCCACTTCTCACTATATTGTGTACTTCAGTAAGAAAAAAAAATCTAAATAACCAGAAGTGTTCTCATACAGTGCCCATTTAGAGGAGTTACCTGCACTGTTCACGTTCCTTTTTAAATGAAAGGTCATGTAAATGTGAAGAATTTCCACAACTTATAATTGTACTTACTTTCAGTGTGTTTGTTTTCTGAAGCTATAGAAATTATAAAAGGCTAACATTATTTACATAAGGCTTTTAACCAGTGTTAGTTTCCTCATGTTTCAAGATAAGTTGATGAAGTAAAGAGTTTCCTACATTTACCACATAAAAATGGCTTCTCTCCCAAGAGAGATGCATTGTATTGGAATGCATTCTGGGGGAAAAAAAACTTTACCACATTATTCACATATGCTCAGATTTTCTTCCTTCTGAATTATTTTATGTATACAATGATACCTGTGAGTACTAACTTCCCACTGTTTACAAAGGGCTGCATTCCACTCTGAATCCTTTCATGTCATTGTGCCTTTATATACTCCTGGTTAATTTCTTCTGTGATATTTTTTAATGTCTACAATAAATACTGGCGTAAAATCTTTGCATGTGTGTAATGAATGCTTTCATTTCTTACATATGGTGTTTCTCACTAGTGAGTTCTTTCACACATATGACAGTAAGTATATGTAGTTAACACTTTTCTAGACTTTGTATTCAGTGAGTTCTTTCATGTATTTCACAATGACAATGTGTGCAGAAAGCTTTCTGTCATTGCTTACATACATAGGGTTTCCCAACAGTTAGTTTTTTTATGTATCTGACAATGACTGTGTGTTCTAAAGGCTTTAATATATTCTTGCATGTGCAGAACTTCTAGCCAGTATGATTTCTTCTACATATACTGAAAGCTTCGCCACAATCCTTTCATTCGTAGTTTCACATCCATAGGATTTATCTCAGTAGTCGACAGAACATGCTTATCCTAAGTTACCAAGTGCTTTGCCGCACTGCTTACATACACAGGCTTTCTCTACAGTGTGATTTCTTTCATGTATTTGACAATCGTCACATATATTGAATGATTTCCCACATGGTTCACACACATAGTGTTTCACTGCAGTGTACCTTCTTATGTTTACAAAATGAACTGTTATCAGTGAAAGCTTTCCCACACTGGTTACATACATAAGGTTTTTCTCCAGTGTGAATTCTTTCATGTATCTGACAATTACTGTGTCTACTGAATGCTTTACCACAATGCTTACATAAATAGGGTTTCTGTCCAGTATGGATTTTTTCATGTATGTGGCAATCACTTTGTGTCCTGAAAGCTTTACCACATTGCTTACATACATAGGGTTTCTCCCCAGTATGAGTTCTTTTATGCTTACAAAATGAACTCTTGCAATTGAATGCTTTTCCACACTGTTCACACACATAGGGTTTCTCTCCACTGTGATTCCTTTCATGTATTTGGCAATACTTGTGTGTACTGAATGCTTTCCCACATTGTTTACAGACATAGGGTTTCTCCCCAGTGTGAGTTCTTTTATGTGTACAAATTGAACTCTTACAAGTGAATGCTTTTCCACACTGTTCGCATATGTAGGGTTTCTCTCCAGTATGATTTTTTTCATGTATTTTACAGTACTTATATGTTCTAAATGCTTTCCCACACTGTTTACATACATAGGGTTTCTCCGCAGTGTGAGTTTTCTCATGGATCTGACAATCACTGTGTCTGGTGAAAGCTTTCCCACATTGCTTACATAGATAAGGTTTCTCTCCAGTGTGAATTTTTTCATGTATTTTACAATTACTCTTGAAATTGAAAGCTTTCCCGCAGTACTTACATATATAGGGTTTCTCTCCAGTGTGATTTTTCTCATGTATTTGACAATACTTATGCGTACTAAAAGCTTTCCCACATTGCTTGCATATATAGGGTTTCTCACCAATGTGAGTTTTTTCATGTATTCGACAATTACTGGGTTTGCCAAAAGCTTTTCCACAATGCTTACATACATATGGTTTCTCCTTAGATTGAGTTTTTTCATGTGTACAAAATGAAGTGTTATTAGTAAAGGATTTCTGGCATTGTTTACATACAGAGTGTTCTCTGCTATGAGGTCTTTCCTGTATTTGAATATAGTCGTGGGAATTAAAAGCTTTGCCACATTGTGTATACACATAGGGATACACTCCACTGTGATTTCTTTCATGGATTTGAACATAACTGGGCATACTGAAGGCATCTGAGTTCTCTTTACATACAAAGGGCTTCTCTCCAGTGTGAGTTTCTACACTGCAATCAGTGTAAGCTTTCCCACACTGCTTATGTTCATAGGATCTCTCCCCAGTGTTTACACTGGCATGCCTCTGAAGGGACTGGAAATCATGCACATCATAATTAGACAGTTTGTCTTTAAATCCCTGGCACTCATATGACTTGAGTACAGTGTGAGCTATGATGGGTACATCTAGCAATGAATGACCAATCAAGGGTTTCCTACAAATAAGATTTTCAGCTGGCTTCGAACCAGGTGGCTTCATGTTCATATCACAATCTGGAGTCCAAAAAAACATTTCTCCATGTTGATGCCATGATTTATTTTGATGGACTTCCACTGCCTCTTCACATCTGTAAAACAAATATAATAAATATTGAAAAAAAAATCAATCATATTATAAAGTGTTTCCTTATCAATGATTTACCAGGAGGGGATCTGGTTGGATGCCCCTATAAATATTTAACTATGAATTAACTGCCCTTTCTGAAATAGAAGTCTTAATTAGGAAGCTTTAAAAATGACACATTTGCAATACATGACACTTGCTTTCATTTTGGGGAACTGGTACACAGGTATATCATGTGATTACTTTTAATGCTATTTCCTCCATGACCCTGCACCTTCCCCCGTTTCCACTGAACCTGTTCACCATCACCAAAAAGCCACTTTATTTTCTACCATCTCTCCTTTCTTTTACTCCTTAATTCATATTTTCTGTTTCTCATATACATCACCAGATATTAGGCTTTCATTGTCTGATTTCCTTCACTTAAAATTATGTGTCTTATTTGTCAGACAAAGAAGTAAAAGCATCAAGTAAATATATGAAAAAATGTTCCACATCACTGGTCATTTGAAAGATTCAGATGAAAACAACACTGAGATTCCACCTCACCCCATGAAGAATTGCTGCTATCAAGAAATCAACCAATAACAAATGTTGGTGGGGTTGTGGGGAGAAAGGAACCCTTCTCCATTGTCAGTGGGAGTGCAGACTGGTGCAACCACTATGGAAATCAATATGGAGATACCCCAAAGAGCTGGGACCAGAGGTTCCATTTGACCCAGCCATCCCTCTTTTGGGTATCTTTCCAAAAGAATTAAAAGAATCATATATGCACACCTATGTTTACGAGGCACAGTTTGTAATAGCTAAAACTTGGAAACAGCCCATTTGCCATCAGTTGGAGACTGGACAAGGAAGATGTGGTTTTTCTATAAAATGGAATATTACTCAGCCATAAGAATAAGAAATTAGAGTCATTCATAGAAAAATGGATACATATCGAGGATATACTCCTAATGAAATAAATAAGTCACACATGTATCAACACCAAATAATTTCTCTGGTGTGAAAAACTATAATGGTACATAAGATCCTAATGGTATAATTGACAATGTGGAACAGGAAGAAAAGGGCTAAAGGTGTAGGGGAAATGGGAAGGGTAGGGGAAAGATAATAAGGGAAAAGAAAAAAAACTATGAGAAAATGAAAAAATGGAAATAAAGTATTTGTAAATAGGGAAGGGAGTAGGAGGTGAAGGGAGGACAGAGGTAAGGGGGAAAAAAATGAGAACCAAGACCTGTCATGTAAAGATACAAGATCTCAACGATGAATGTAACTGTACTGTATCCACTGAACCTGTTCACCATCACCAAAAAGCCACTTTATTTTCTACCATCTCTCCTTTCTTTTACTCCTTAATTCATATTTTCTGTTTCTCATATACATCACCAGATATTAGGCTTTCATTGTCTGATTTCCTTCACTTAAAATTATGTGTCTTATTTGTCAGACAAAGAAGTAAAAGCATCAAGTAAATATATGAAAAAATGTTCCACATCACTGGTCATTTGAAAGATTCAGATGAAAACAACACTGAGATTCCACCTCACCCCATGAAGAATTGCTGCTATCAAGAAATCAACCAATAACAAATGTTGGTGGGGTTGTGGGGAGAAAGGAACCCTTCTCCATTGTCAGTGGGAGTGCAGACTGGTGCAACCACTATGGAAATCAATATGGAGATACCCCAAAGAGCTGGGACCAGAGGTTCCATTTGACCCAGCCATCCCTCTTTTGGGTATCTTTCCAAAAGAATTAAAAGAATCATATATGCACACCTATGTTTACGAGGCACAGTTTGTAATAGCTAAAACTTGGAAACAGCCCATTTGCCATCAGTTGGAGACTGGACAAGGAAGATGTGGTTTTTCTATAAAATGGAATATTACTCAGCCATAAGAATAAGAAATTAGAGTCATTCATAGAAAAATGGATACATATCGAGGATATACTCCTAATGAAATAAATAAGTCACACATGTATCAACACCAAATAATTTCTCTGGTGTGAAAAACTATAATGGTACATAAGATCCTAATGGTATAATTGACAATGTGGAACAGGAAGAAAAGGGCTAAAGGTGTAGGGGAAATGGGAAGGGTAGGGGAAAGATAATAAGGGAAAAGAAAAAAAACTATGAGAAAATGAAAAAATGGAAATAAAGTATTTGTAAATAGGGAAGGGAGTAGGAGGTGAAGGGAGGACAGAGGTAAGGGGGAAAAAAATGAGAACCAAGACCTGTCATGTAAAGATACAAGATCTCAACGATGAATGTAACTGTACTGTATACCTAAAATGTACCAATAAACTCAATGAGAAAAAAATTACATCTGTCTTATTTCACTTAAAAGTTATAGGCTTAAGATATTTCAATTTTTTGGCAGATGACATCATTTTATTCTTCTTTCTAGATGAATACAATTCCATTATGTATACATACCCTGTATTTTTCAGTGTTGAAGATTTAACCTAGGGCACTAACACTGAGCTACATCCACAGCCCTTATTTTGAGACAGAGTTTCCTCTATCATTAAATTTCCCAGGCTGAGTGTGAACATGTGATCTTTCTGGCTCAGCTTCTCAGAGTGCTGAGCTTACCAGCATGCACCATTATGGTTGACCTATCCCATATATATTTCAATATATATATTTTTTGTTTGTTTGTTTGTTTGTTTGTTTTTTGGTATCAGGGGAACACGGGACCTTGTGCTTGCGAGGCAGGGGGTGGCACCACTGAGCTAATCCCCCAGCCCAATCCCATATATTCTCTCTCCATTCACCAGTGAATACACATATAGGCTGTTTTCAGAACTCACCTATTAAAAATTGTGCTGCCATAGCATGTTGATGCATTTATCATTACAATGTAATGACTAAACTTTTTAGGAATATATCAAGTAGAGCTATAGCTGGATCAAACGGCATTTCTATTTTTACTTTTGAGAATTTTCTATACACATTTCCACAGATGTTGGACTACATGACATTCCCACCAAAAATATAGGAAGGTACTTTGTAAATATTTTGCAAAATGAATGGACTGAATGCTATGGTGAATTGCTTGCAAACAGCTATTATTAAAACAAAGGCATTTATTTGGATTTGAATATTTATACCAGGGTAGCAATTTTCCAAATACTGACTGTGTATAAAACATTTAAATAAAAATAGCATCCCTTAAATTGGTATAGAAGTGGTTTTTAGAAAATATTAACCTGTACACATAATTAGATATATTGAACTAGTTCCCCAGCTGAAACAAAAGTTTTATTTCATATTACGTACAGCCAATGCCTAAATGCAATTACATAAAATATTTTCATAATTTTGAGTGTGGAAGATATTTTATCTTGACACATTAAATAATATCACTTGTGACATAATATCAGTACTCCATAAATTCCCAAAATTAGAATATTTCAGATATTCAATTGTTACATTATAGATTCTCAACATGTATGCATGCTAGGAAAGTCCGTGAGATTAAATAAATTTGAACTTGGCTTCATTTGTAGTTTTTAATTTGGTTGGTTTTTAATTTTTTTTAAATTTCTATTTATACATGTTTTCAATACCTAATGGCTACATTCATCATAAATTGTTGGTATATGTACAGATCAAACCTTAATACTTTTTTACCCCTTCTTCCTCTATCATCCATCTCTTATTTCCCCTCACTTTTACAAAATATCTTTCTCCCTGTTTCTATTATCTATCTTTATTTTGCTCTTTCATTTATTTATGCAGAATGAAGTACAACTCAACCATAAAGAATGATAAATCTGACTCATTTGTAGGAAAAAAAGATTGCACCTTGAGATCATAATGTTAAATGAAATAAATCACAAACACAAGTTTAAATATTGCATGGTTTCTCTTATATGAGAAACCAACAATGTAGTTTCCTTAATTTAACATTTTTTGCTCATTCCCTGACTTTTGAGGAGCATTCCTTTTTTTTTACTGTAAATTACCTTAGATTTTTCCGCCAACATCGTTGCCATTCATCATCAATTTGCTGGTCATCGCAATTTCTTCCTAAAGTGTAGAAAAAGAAATATGATAAGCTATTCCAACATTACATAAAAATTCATATATTCCAGGTAGATTCATGCTATTATACCTAGAATACTCTTCAAAATCTTTTCACATTCCAATTAGTAAACCTACACTGATGAGCAAGAAGCAACACTCCCTGATTTTATAAATTAGATAACAGTCTCACCTATAGCAGACACATTTTTAAAGGTTTCCCACATCACATCTCTGTAGAGCTTCTTTTGGGATGAATCCAGCAAAGCCCACTCCTCCACGGTGAAGGCCACAGCAACATCTTCAAAGGTCACTGCCTCCTAAATCGTCACATATATTTATAGGAAAATTATTGAGACTCAGGTACAGAACACTTCAATTCCACTCATAAAAAGCTACAATGGGATTGAATCTTCCAAATGTTGATATCATGTCTTCCTATCAAATTCTTTATCTCCATCCATATTCTCATCTCACACAGGAATTCTGACGCTACAACTGAATTCACTAATGAAGCAACACAATGGAAACCGTGGTTCTCCTGCTGATTAACCCCGGTTTTGTTTGTACAGTTTCTAAAGCATGGTTTACAGAGGAAATCTACAAAACAAGCATCCAACTAAAAAACTGGAATAGATGATTATCTAATAAACTCCTCTGACAGATCATAGAAAAATATCTCTTTTCACAACTTATTATTTAGGAAAGTTATTTATTCCTTCTCTGATTGTATTTAGACAGTATTTTGAAACCTGACCCTGGATTCACAAGCAAAGAATTAAACAGTAATTAAATAGCATAAATGATAATTAAAATGCTAATAAACAAAATTTTTGAGAATGTCTATGGATAATGAAATTAGATTAAGAGCTCAAGGACACCAAATGGTCACCTTTTACAGTGATAGAAAAAATTCTATGGTGGTGGAAGGGGAAAAAGATGGGGGAATGTATATGATCAAAATATATGCATTGAAACCCAATGTTTTGCAAAGTTAACAGGCACTAATAAAACAATAAATTTAAGAAAAAAATTGCCACTTCCAAATCATATCTTTAGCCATTCAATATAATAAATGTCTAACAAAAATGATCAAGTGGCAATAAGAAAATGAGAGCTTGCCTAACACACATAAGAGATTCAAAATTCAGTGCTTAGGGCACTATTTAGCAGAGAGAATGACAAACGCATCACAAGAAAGGAAAAAAGTCTTCAGTGGGTCCATGTGTACATACAATACCGAATAATGATAGAACTGGTATGGTACAAAATGGCAAAAATCACAAAAGTGTTTAATACAGAAGGCAGGGAGAAACAGAAAGGTACAATGAAACACTCTCCACGTTCCATGGACAATAATTATCACCTTGAAATGTGAAACATAAACTTGAGTAATTGAGAATTCAGAGTCAAATAAGTTTCCTCAGGAGAAAATCAAGAATCCAGCAGGATTAGAGGAAGAAATTGAAACCAATGGAAAGCATGAGGAACAAAAGAAACAAGTAAAAAAAAAAAAAAAA